TAATCAAAAAGTAATCAAATGTAATCAGTTACATTACTTTAATAAAGTAATTGAAAACGTTACACTACTATTACATTTTAAATAGGGTAACTTGTAATCTGAAACCTATTACATTTCCAAAGTAACCTTCCCAACACTGGTGATGAACATCATAGCAAAAACACAAATCTAATGGCTGTTTAAATAATTTAAACACAAATGACTAAATGATTCAGAAACAGAAAGTAGTGCAGCTGCTTTATTTACAGGGTTTCCGGGGTAATGGCTGCATTTAAATTAATTATTATTATTATTATTATTTCTGCAGTTTAGGCCATCTGCTGTCAGAGAGTGAAAGTGCGCTTTCATCCAGAGCGTCTCTCACATGTTCCGCCATGTGCTTCTCGTCCGCGCTTATTTACATCAGAGTGAGCACGAGTCTTTCACACAGCATACAGCGGTGTTGTGCATTTTGACCAGTTGATGGGAAAAGTATTCTTAAAATGCATTCACAATTCTGAATAATTTGTAATATATAATTATTCACGGTATTTAGAAGTGCCCACGATAACAATATTGTGCATATTCATTACCGTGATATATCGCATTACCGAATACCGGCACAAGTCTAACACACACACACAAAAAAGCCCATAGATGAGCAAAGATTCAGACTGTGTACTTCAGTTGGGTCTTTAGCCATCCGAGCAAGTGCTATTTAGATCAGTAATAATGGTAAAGAATTATATTCTACTAGTATTATGTAAACCTGCTTTTGAAAAAATATTAAATTATTTTTGGGAGAATTCTTCCTTTAAACCTGTTTGACAGCAGCAAACACAACTCTTACCATAGTGATTGCATAATCACAATGTATATAACCTGTAACACAAGGGATCTGTTGGTGAATATTCTCATCTTTTAACTTCTCTCAGGGCGACTCCACGCCTCCTTTGCACAGCAGCCCAACAGAAAAGCTCAGGGCCTAGGACCGAAGAAGAGAATGGGACTCAAAAACCAGAGCCCAGTGCAGCTGAGAAAGCCTTCATAGAAGAAAAGACACAACTGGAAGAACAGCTGAAAGATGTTACGGTATTGCTGTATTCGTAGTCTTAGCATCTGTTGTATAGAAGTTCTAGATGAAAATTTACATAAAATCTGACAATAAAAGTTTTTCTTGCTATTCATAACCATGTAATTTCCACTGCACAGCCTGACCTTCAATTGCCCTTGAAGCTCACTGAGGACACTTTTATCCATTTTTATTCATATTTGTTTAAACAAATAGCTTTATTTTTTAAGAAGTGCAGTCAGCAGGGTCATGTGTCAGATTAGTGATGTTCAGAGGATTTCCTTGCCTGTAAATCAGCTGTAAAGTGTACCAGACTTACTCAGGATGTGACTTTGAGTCTCTACACCAGCCTAGTCATTTCTTTACATGTGAAGCATTCAGAGTCATCATTACAGTTAATCCAACATATTGTCATTATTCCTTGTAATATTCCTATACAACATAAATCTGCTGAGTTTTGTAAGAAATTATAGTCTGCCTCGACCAAACTTCCACTCTAAGTAAACTATTCTCCTTTCTCTACAAAGAGCTTAATTATCATAGAGATAATTCTTTCCGATCTCAATAATATGTAAATAGTATCTCCTGAACGTTACTTCGTCAATCGTCACCTATAGCGTGGGAGCGGCAGTAGGCCATCAAGAACCATCTGCTGACCAAAAGGGTACTTGAATATAATTGCACCTTAACATTTGGTTGTTTCCACCTGAAAGACTACCAAAAGATGTGGGAACGGAAGGCTATCACTTTCATTGTTATCCGCAATTTACATTTAAGACGAAACTTCATTTACATGCGGGAAGATGAACGTAATAGAGTATAAAATGTTTGAGCGTAGGATGTTCGTGGTTCATTCGGACTCCGTTGAACCCAAGGTACTACATGTACTTTGTCACTGCTATGCTGCAATAAACATCTTCATCGAGATCATCATCGTCTTCATCATTTTTCTTACAGTTTCTAGAATATTAAAACAAATTATTGCAGGTATTTAAGAAAAAACATGGCAAATAAGTGTTTTTCTTTTATCTTTGTTGAGGGGAGCAGTTTAAAAAGAAATTGGATTTGAAAACTCAGCATGCTGTTTGTAGTTCATTGTCTGATCTTTTTGTTAATTGTCTTTTGCTGAAGGATAAATACAAGCGGGCGCTAGCAGACACTGAGAACCTTAGGCAAAGGAGTCAAAAGATGATTGATGATGCTAAGCTTTATGGTAAGCTATTATAATTATTTTATAAGCAGCTTTTATGAACAGACATTTCTGGATCTGGTCAATTTGTGAAATGTTTTAACTCCCATCTCTTTTCTCAGGAATCCAGGGCTTCTGTAAAGATCTCTTGGAGGTGGCTGACATCTTGGAGAAGGCAACAGAAAGCGTACCAAAAACTGAAATATCTACTGCAAATCCACACCTGAAAAATCTTTATGACGGCCTTGTAATGACTGAGGTGCAGATCCAAAAGGTCTTCCAAAAACACGGTCTTGTTAAGCTTAACCCTGATGGTCAGAAATTTGACCCTTATGAGCATGAGGCTGTCTTTCATGCACCTATGGAGGGCAAGGAGGCAGGTACCGTAGCTGTAGTTACTAAAGTAGGCTACAAGCTGCACGGCCGTACTCTACGGCCAGCTCTGGTGGGTGTAGTCAAAACCCCCTAACAGGTCTTACAAACTATGATGGGTTATTGCCTGGTCAACTGATCGGTTTCTGTAAGTTAGCTGGTCTTAGGCTCCACTGTTTTTTTGTTTGTTTTTGTTAAATGTGCCTCTGAGAGGTGAAATCCAATATATTGACAACTGAGGGACAATGCCAGACTAATCTTTGTGATTAATAATGATTCAGTAAAAAAATAGTTATTGGGTATAAGAGTTGAGTGTGTATGAGGTAGAAGATTAACAGAATCTTTGATTGGATGCATCAGTATTCTCTGGAGGATCATCACCTTTCCAGGGACGTCTGAGATCCAAAGAAACGGAAGCTTTTGAATAATCGAAAGCTTTTAAAGAAGCACTGCAGCATATTATGTTGTTGAACATCTTTTCTTATTATACTTATTTGCTCTTACATTAATTACTTTACTGAAAAACGTTACCAGTTTGGTGATGTCTATGACAGCAGTTGTTATATTCCACTTTTTTTGTCGGTGTTATGCAATTGAATATTTTTCAATTTGTATGAGAGAATAATTAGTCTTCTTTACAGGACTTAAAGTAATATTTTATCCAAAAATAAAATGTATAAATTTACAATAATTTGCCTATTGGCAGTTGTGCTTGCCAACTTTCACCATTAGTTTCATAGTGTGCAAACCTGATGAAATATCACACTTCAGACCACTGATTGTAATAACTACTGATGGGGTTTTTGTGAAGATCTGGGGAAAAGAAGGATGGCCGTTTAAGGCCACTTGAGAAATCAGTCATTAGAAATTGTGGTTGTAATATGAATAGAATTATGCCGTGCTCATGGAAAAATATGAACGTCAAATTTAAAAGGGTATTGGATTCAACTTTTCCATCTAGTACGTGAACAAGCAGACAACTGTCAAATAAAGCATGTACCTCTTTTAAAAATTTAGTCATTATTACACCTTCCATAGGTTTGTTGGTCATTTTTGGTGAAATTTTCTTTGCTTAATAAGACAAAAAGGTTATATTTCAACACTTTAATACAAAGTAGGAAATAACATGACATATGCAATAAAATACTTTCCACATACTCAACATTTTCACATATATCTTTCCAAAATGGACTTTTTAACCAGAGAACAGTCAGGTCACAACTAAGCAAAAAAAAAAAAAAAAAAACTTATCCTTTTTAAATGTCACATTGTCTTTAAAAATTATAAAAATGAACTTGCAATAGTGTCTTTTTGTGATGTCATGTTCATTCTCATATCTCTGCTCACATTTTCTTTCAAATTGTTTTTTACTTTACAAAAATAATTATATTCTCTGAAATAGCATATTGAATGATTTTTAAAGTGTAAATATTAACCCTTAAATAAACTGGTAAATTTTTCCTCAAAAACAATTAAATGTAGGTTGACTAAACTAGTCTTGAATAATGGCTTGGGTACTTTAACCAGTGATCCTGTTTCCTACAACCATAAAGCATAACCTGAAGACTAACCCTTTCTGAAAATGTAAGCACCTTTATACAAATGAAATAAAACGGCAGTGACACATTTGCTTCATAATTTCCTTATTCCTAGTTTCATGAGATATAACACAGTGTCTTCATGCCTACATCCATCATTTATCAAACGGTCACACAGCCAATATCCTACATATGTCTTGGATGAGTTTCTCTCCACGTACAACTGTGCCCATCTACTTTTAATGGCTTTAGTCAAATATTATTGTGTGGGGTAGTTACATCTATCATAGAAATGTGAAGAAAAACAATCGAGCCTAAATAAAACCTAATATAAACCTTAATCTTTGTACATTTTTGATGTGGTACAATTTAATATTAAAATATAATATTAATTACAAGCAAAAGGAATAAAAAGCATCAACCAGGGCAAATATGCTTCAAGGCACACAACATAAGCATACTCAACTATGAATGACTGTTTATGGGACTTTATATGTACCAATGTCTGGGGCAAAAATGATGGTATAAAAGCAGATGAGGACCACCACATTGTCCTTTACAACAGATTTACACTAAACAGTAATTTCCAATATTGTATACATAGAAAAAAAAATGTCTTAAAGTTATACTGTGCCTATCAGTTCTATCTGACTGTTAATATATTAAACATCTCAAAACTGTAAAAAATTGAAACCTTTGCATTGGCCTCTGTGAACAGTGCTTTTTCTTAGCTTTCTACAGCTTTGGGGTAGACACAAGCAGTCAATAATAACATTAAAAATAATGGAAAACTATGTCTCAGTAACAGTTGTAATCTAAGATTTGGTATTGCATGAAGATTTTGCCAAGGCATTTGGAAATTTAAAAAACTAGTATGTAGTTATAACATTCAGTCTCAGCTTATAAACTGTGAACTTGTTGAGATGAGAACCGTTGATGCTGTATTGATTTGTATCCCTCACATTACCCAACAAATAAGAATAATACCCTCTTGAAACAGGAGCATCGTGGTAAATATTCTCCATTGGTGATCAGCTTGATGTAAGCATCAAACTAATACTTTATATAGCCGGGGGGTGTGCCATTTAACTTGAGCCTCTGAAACATGCTCAATGTAACATAACCTCATAAAGGTCAACTCCAACAAATAATAATAATCAAACATGAACTTCAGACATTTAGATAGTATGGCGCATGCTTCATGTGGCTCAACATTCCCACAATTGACACAACAAAATATATCCAACTAAAACAGGCAAATTCAGGTTAGAACACAGGAACTTTAGACTTTTGGCAACCTGACCTAGTTTCCTTCTTATTACAGAACAAGAAACTCAGAACCAATTTTAAAGATCTGCTTTGTCCAACATTAAACATTCTGTTCATACTCTATTGGCAGGGAACAATCAACACCACTGAAAACCACATTCAAAATGGAGGCATTTTAACGTGGGGCAATGGGTTTTTGTGTTATATTCTGACGTATTACATAGGACAAATTACTGGAAAGTTCCCTATGGATACTGATTAAGTACCTTCTATAACCATGTTTATGTTCCTATGAGGAGATCAGAGACCAAAAGCAGACATGTTAGACTGACTGAAGGCCCACATCCAGTAGTGTGGCGCCTACAGTCATTTTGTTTTCACAGGCTTTTCTGAGATGCAATATAAAACAGTAGAAAAATATATTTACAGTCATTATTCTTGCAGCCAAATCTTTGGACAGTGTGGTTAGGCGGCTTCTCGGGATATCCAGCCGCTCTCCGACAGGAAGTTCAGAATCCGTTTTTTCAGCACCTTGTCCAGGTAGCTGGGTAAGCGGCTTTTCGAGGGAATGCCCTGCCTTTTCTGTAAGTGATCTTTGATGATGATAGTCTTGACAGTCAGATAGCGTGTGGGACTTAGGTTCATAGAGTTGCACAGTACCTTCTCCCGATCGGACAGCAGCTCAAAGCCAGACAGGTTCTCGATGGCTGAGAACTCACTGTCCTTCCCCTCCTCTTTGATGGCACTGACTCCTCCACCTCCGCCAAGCCCACCTCCTGCTCCAACTCCTCCTCCAAGCCCGGCCGCTCCTCCTCCACCACTACTACCTCTCTTTGACCCAACAATACTTTTATTTTCTTTCCGTTTTTCCCGTTTGTGGCGTGCCGCCTCGTACTCGGCCGACTCGTCGAGTCTCGTGATGCCATTCCGCCGATAACGCTGAAGCTCCCGAACTTTCACCCGCAGCATGCGCTCTTTGTGCATGTTATCAAAGAATTCTTCAAACTCTCGTTGTGGCATGAACTGGCAGAGTGTCCGTAGTTTCGTCCGTTGCTCTTTCTCTTCCTTGGTGATTTTGCGTTTCGGTGTTGCTGCTACAGAGGAGCCCAGCGACCCTGTCGGAATAATGGAGGTACCACCTCCCAGTCCTACAGCTCCACCTATGCCCCCAACCCCGCCTGTTCCACCTGGTCGTTCTCGCTCTTTATCCTTTTTGTCCCGTCCCAGAAAGACTGGCACTAAATTATAATCACGAGCAATGTTTTTCCGTCGCTGGCGCTCACGCAGCTTCCGCACGTACATGTCCACATGGGCTCGTTTCATCTCAATCTCGATTTCTTCATCATCGTAGTTTACAGACAGGCCACTGATGAGTTTCTCTGCCTCTTGGTCATATTCGATCTCGTAGTCATCACGGAGCGGCATGTATCCAAGCTGCTGCTGCTCCGCCACAGATATGTCTAGTGGGGGCAAAGGGGTAGTCAAACTAGGAGACAGCGGACCTCCGCTGGGACAAGTGTGGTCTGTCACGCGGTTGGGGATGCTGTCAGGGATGCAGGCTTTGCCCAGATTCCCATGGATATACATGCTCACATAATGGTCCATGACCTCCTGAGGGGTGCGTGATGCACCCACATGGGCTGCCATATCCTCCTAACACACAGAAATAAACAAAGATACAGAGTTAGTTCATCCAGAAATTAATATCTGTCATTTACCCACCCTAATGTTGTTGCAATCCCGTGTTGTTCATCTTGAAAACACAAATGAAGATGGCAACTCTGTCTCTTGAGAAGACATGGATTAAACCGCTTGATTCATATGGACTATGTTTACAATGTTTTTATGAACATTTCGAAGCATCAAAGTTTTGGTCTTTCAATTGAGGGACAGAAATCCCATCAGCTATTATTAAAAATGTCTTTATTTTGTGTCTCGAAGATGAACGAAAGTCTTATGGGTTTGGAACAACATGAGGGAGAGTAAATGATGGCAGAATTTTCATAATTGGGTGAAGCCTTTAACATACAGGTCATAATAATATCAACGTTACAAACTCAAACATTAATATTATTTCTTAATACGTTATATTAATGCAAATAAGCTATGCAAATATTAATGAATAACAAAGGCAGTGCTTTCAGTAATAGTACACTGTACAGTTTGTTCTCTCTATGGAAACTATAATGTGCAGCTGTTATGAATGACCAAAACTGAAATTCATTTTTGGGTTAAATAATCCTTAAATGCAATATGCACCACACACCTAGGGGATCTGCTTGATTGTTAACAAACTATTTTCTCTAAGTTACTTAAGTCAGCAATGCATCATTTGTTGCTGACTAAACATGACAATTTTGTGTTGATGTGCACATGTGGCAATGCAAAATAATTTTATTAAAGCCGCATCGATATAGATTCATTTGAGAATCGTACCCAGTTACCAAATCCGTATTGCTCGATGGCATCGAGCAGCGACTGCTCTTCCCTGCTAGTCCATCCTCCCTCTGCCTCGGGACCCCAGAGCGAGAAGCGCCCGCCGTCAACTTGCTGATAGCCATGCCATCGTCTGTGGTTACCGATTTCGGCACCCGCGGAGAAGCACTCCGGACAAAGTTCAATATCTTGGCATTCGGCACAGCGAATCCGCAAATTCGTAACATCTGCCAGGCAGTTCACGCAGTATTTCTTCCCTAGGTCGGCCATATTGCTTACTACCGCTTGTTGTTGGAAGCAGCAGTCGCTTGGGGCAGGGCATGCGCAGTGGAGTATCTCCGGTCACGCCGCTGCGTCTCATTAATATTAATAAGTACAGCGGATGCTTGCGATTGGCTCTCGCTGTGGGTGCCCATGGCAACAAGCACGCGCTCCTGTACAGACACAAAATAGTTTAGGCAAGCGTGTTTCATGAGCTAAACGGTGGTTATTTTAGAGAAATTGCATGTCATTATTATTAGGTTAATACAATTTTTTTTAAAGAACCTTGTGTAAATTCAGTTATATAAAATGGAAGAGGGGTCATTAGAATTAAAACATGAAGAAAGCCTTGTTTTAGAAAATAACACACTGGTGGAAAACACTGAATTGTCTGAGGATCTAACCAAGGCAGCAAGTGCCCGGGTTGGGGAGGAAGAAACTGAAATGACTGAACCTCCTAGTATCTCAGAAGGTGTTGAGGATGATGTGGTCAAGCAGGGTTCACAGCTGGCAGAAGACATGTCTATTGCTGAGACAAGCGAAGCACAGATAGCTGAAACCGAGTTTGGGCACCATATGATAACAGAAAGGGAGGATGGAATAGAACCCCTTATAAATGAGACATTGGAGGACACTGAGGGTCCTGAAATAGGACATTTCATTGACGATCTTCTGTCACGTGAGGACACTGAGGGTGAAGAGGAAGAGGACAGAATTCCAGCTCCTGACCCAGAGAGTGAGAGAATCATCGGTGCTGCAGAAGAGGAGGAGATGGGTTTCAACATCAGTGATGAGGAACATATGGACCTGCTACATGAACTGCAAGCTGAAAAGCTCAGCAAGCTAAATGGTCTGATGCAGACCAAAATAGTAGAATACCTCAGTAAGAAGACAGGTGATAAACATCCCAGACTGGAAGGAGATATCTCATACCAGGAGCAGTACCAAAAGTACATGGTTCTCTTAGAGGACCTGAAAATGCAGCACCACAGTTTCTCTGAGCAGTGAACCGAGGAGCTCCGCCAGCAGAACTTAGAGAAACTGAACCAGGTGCAGCACGAGCTGAGATCCTTAGCGGCACTGAAATATGAAGCTGCCATCAGCACTGACTGGGCAAACAGGCAGCAAAGGTGCAGCTGCAGGCAGACGAACTGAAGCAGGAAGACAAGCTGGCATCTGTGTCTCAACAATATCAAGTTCAAGAACAAAATGTGTCGGCTTGAGACAGAACTTAAATCTAAACGTGAGCTTGCTGATGGCTTGCTGCTGATGGACTTTGAGCAACTCAAAACAGAGAACCAGACATTTAAAGACAAGCTGAAGAAGCGCAGTGAGAAGCCACTTAGGCTGAAAAGGAAGGTTGCCTGCTCTGTGCAGGTAAATGTATTTCCTCAAAACATCACCAAAACATCGGAGAAATTAAAGTGTTTTTTTATTTATTAATTAATTAATTTGTATTTATTTATTTGTTTGTTTGTCTATTTATTTATTATTTATAAATGTAATTTATGTCCACCTCATTTCAGGAGTGAAATTATTTTTTTTGTGGTCATCAGGAGCATGTTAAAAATTAATAATATATTAATATATTTAATTAATTAAATATAATTACAACAAGGTAATATATACATTTATATAAAAACTATATAAAAACAAGGTAATGTTATTAAATATTGTATATAAATATATTAGTAATTAAACAGCTTAATGCATGACTGGACACAAGAAGTCTTTTGAAATGTTGTTTCACATAGAAGCTATTCATATAATATAGCTTATATAAGGACCTCACATAACAAGTTCACCATTATCCAAAAAATGCATTGTATTTAGCAACCTATATGGTTTCATTTTATTTTTACACATTTTTTGTCCCACAACCTCAGGGCATTTCCCACGTGAAAGAGAAGCTGTATTTCATGCAGATGGAGAATAAGGTCAAACACACTCAACTGGCGAAGGCAGATACATTGGTGGCTCATAAATGTGAAGTGCTGACACGTACCCGACAGGCTCGTGACGGCCTACATGCAGATAACCTTAAGCTGCAACAGCGCTGTGGCCTGCTGGGAAACACCACACTGCTGCAGGACTTTGAGGAGAAGGTCTGCAGCAGAGACTAGAGATGTTGAAGGGATGTCACGCTGAAGTGTGCTGGAGTCAAGCAGAAGATTGAGCAAAGCAAACCAGAGGGCCAGTGACAACACAGGTGCACATGCTTCCCTTCAGTAATTGTGTTAAATGTCATGTATAGAGTGTAACTTAACAAAGCTTATCTTATGCAAAGCATTAAAATTTATAGAGAAGTGGAATATTTGGTGAGATATAATACTTTGAATTTATAATCTTAAATAGTACTCGGATAGTATTTATCTTAGTTATTTTATTTTGTTGATTTTCTTGATTGTCACAGTACCAAACAATTGCTTATAGAGGTTAGCACGCAATAAATGAAGAACACATAACTTCCATTATTTTGCTAGACTAACTACTTTAAAGGATGCTGTTGCTGAATTCTTTATTCGAAAGTGCAAAGCAGAAGAAACTCATGTGTATGGCTTTTCAAATCTACCTTATCATTTGACACTGACAACAACATTTTTCATGTTTTTTTTATTTTATTTAAATTTAAATGCTTTAAAGAGGTGCATTAACAGCACCCAAACATTTGAGACTTTCACCATTTTTACTGCAGACTGCAGACTTCGTTTACTTTAGAATTTGATTGGCCATTTGATTAAACTTGATTAGCTCTGCTATGATGTTGCTGTACAACAAGAATTTTACCAAAATATATAATATAATATTATATAATATTCAAGGATATTCATTTGTTGGTTTTGTGTTATGTTGTACTTTATTGGAATTAAGTGTGTAATATAAGACAATTATTACAAAGTAGAACAAAAACAATTTAAGAGTTTCTTTAATCAATCATGAAATTATGATTAAAATGATTCAAATAATGTGGTAAAATAACAAATATGGTGCTAATACTGCTTAAAGTTAAAGGGGTCATATGATGCTATTTTAAAGATCATTATTTTGTGTATTTGGTGTAACAGAATATGTTGACATGCTTTAATGTTCAAAAAACACATTAAAGGAAAACTTGAAATCGCATCATATGACCCCTTTAATAAGTGAGTTGCTGTGTAGGAATCATGACACTATCAGTAAAATCAAGGTTACTGCTGTATGCTTGCATGCATTCTTCTGCAGTAAAAGTACCGTTAGAAAAAGTATTGACATTTAATGCATAAGATTAAAGCTATAACAAACTCAAACAGTAAACCTGCAGATATTTGTCATGATACCACAATAACAAAAAATTATAGATCATCAGAAAGAAGTTTACTGAGCTAATTTTTTCAGCTATGAAACAAGTTAAAACACACTATCGTTCAAAATGAATCACTAAAGATCAAAATGTAAATTTTAATGGGTGTTAATGTAATTTAAATTTTTACTTTTTATTGATTTTTTTATTTTAATGTTCTGACGTAATTTAGATTGCAACATGAAGGGCGGGACATAATGAAGAGCCAAAAACAAAAAAAGTAGCCAATAGCATTTATATGATCTCGCCCATATGACACGAGCCTCTGTGTGATGTCTTGTCTCTGGAGCCAAGCATTGTGTGTGTTTCAGTGGTTCAAGTGACACTGACTCCAATCTTCATTTGTCCCAATGGGAAACATATTTACACTGTCGGAATTCCCAGTGGGCAATTGATTTTGAAAAGACATCAAAATTGACATAAAAAAGATGTTATACATTAAACCAATGTCAGTGTGAGATTAACTTTTTATTTTCACTCAATTACCACTGGAAGAAATTGCCATCCAAACTGAATTTAAAATTATGTTACAACATCTTAAACAAGTCTTGACTAATAATTGATGTCAAATTGATATCAAGGTGCCCGCTGGGTTGTTCACTATCCTATATATAGTGTAACTTGACAAAGCATACCATATGTGTGGAGCATTAAACTTTATACAAAAGGTTTTTGGTTTTCAAATGAAAGAAATACTGAGGAAATAATACACCAAATTTGTAATCTCAAATAGTATCTAAAGCTGTATATCCCAGTTCTTTTCTTATTATGATCAACACAGTGCCAGCAGATGGCGATATTTGTTACGTCAAGTCAACCTCTGTATATTCTAATGTGTTCGTCTTCTAAAAAAATCGATTTTACATATTTGACATTGTGAGTCTATTTGAATTACAGAGGGACGTGCTCAACAAACAAATAATGTTTGGTTTAAGCACGTAACTTTTTCAGCGTCGGAGTGAAAAAACATGTTTCGGGGTTTTTTTTCCAAGCTGTTGCTGCAAGGTGGAACATTTAAAGAATTTTTACAAAACTAACTGCTGACTGCTTCCACTACTAGAAATGTGTTTTCCATTTAACATTACAGGTGATGTTGGTTTAAAAACAATGAGCAGCATATGGCCTCCCACAGGAAATGCAGCTGAAGGTGATATAGGGTCATTGGCATAAGCGGCCGACCACAAATTCTAGTGTTCTGCTGACAGCTCTGAGGTGAGAAACTAGTGCTATTAAAAGACACCACCACCAACACATTCTACATTATACAAAAGACACTGTATGCAACTCTATGGTGATCGTTTAAAAATGTCCAATATGAAATTAAGAATGCTCATATCCGTAGGCTTGTCTCTGGGTCGCCCTTATTTCGTTGAATTTATTTGAGGCCCTTTCATGCTTTAATAATCAAGTATAACTGGTAATGGTTTTTACTCTTTTGGAACTTAAATACACATCAACAGACAAGGTTCTCTTAGTACCATGAATATCATTTACAACTTAACCTGTGGATTAGCATAAATAGAACTTATTAGTAGTAGTACCTTGAATGATCTTGCTTTCACAAGTAATTTATTAATACTTTATGTGAAAAAGTTCAATGCTGAGAGTCTATGCAGCAACTTCACATAGGGAGTAATTTAAGGACAGCTAGCTCTAAAAAAAAAAACTATAGAAGGAGATCCATGCAAATTGGTGATCTTTCATAAAAATGACACCACGTGATCTTGACAGGTTGTATATGGAAGGAACATATTCATTTTTTTTTTTTTAGCTGTATCTGTTTTAACTTGTGCAGCTTACTAGTATTGCCAGTTTAGACCAAACTGGCTTATGGAAATTTATGTGCAACTGAGTAATAGATTTTTTGATGAAAAGATTTCAGGCAACAATACAGTCATTTTGAAATCCTAAATACTGGAACTCCAGTCCAAAGATTTTCTCCTTGTTCATCAGCACTGCTGTATTTTTACAGTATTTTTTTTTCTTTCTATTCTTTAGTCACACAACACTTATTGTCTGTGCTGTGTTGCGTCTGCTGCACTGAATACTATCCTCACTAATTTAAAGGACCTTGTTGAATTATTTGTTCTCGAGTGCAAAATAGGAAATTAATATTCTATGAACACAGAAAAGGTCAATAATTAGTGACACTTGAATTGATAACGTGAACATACATACTTATAATACAATAAATGACCCATTTTTTCCCCTTTTTTCTGTTTTGATTTATTTGATCTTGTTTTGAATAAGCTCTGCTATGCCGTTGTTGCTGATGTACAGTATAACAGAGGAATGCTGATGTGATTTTACAACAAAATTCATCGTTTTGTGTTCCATTTTATTAGAATTAAGAACATCATAAGACTGCTGTTATACAGAATAAAACAAAAGCAAATTTCTTTCTTCAGCCTACATAAAAAAATACTATCATAAATCGTCCCTGTAATCCTAGTAAGAACAGGGTGATTGTTGTCTGTTTACATGTTATTTTGCAGTAAAATTAACGAGTTAAAAGGTAAAACAATTATTTTAGCATTTAATGCAGAATGTTAAAGAAATACTGAACTCATCAAAATATGCAGTTACTTGACATGATGCCTCCCATGATAATAATGAAAAGAATATCCGAGCATTACAGAAGGAGGTTTACTGAGCTAATACTTCACTTAAGAACCAAGCAAAAGCGTTCCTTCGAGCATGTTGATCATGGCCACAGCAGCATCACTAAAGATCACGAACATCGACTGCTTTCATGGCATTCTTCACCCAGCTCAGCTGAGGATCCACGCAGATACGATAACTCCTCTTTGTGACAAAACTGTTCGAAGGAAAAGATCGGTTACTCCACACAGAAAACGTACACACACAGTATAATAGATTTTTACTATTAGAATTAGTATGAATAGGATGACAAATTAAAACTCACATGACTCCAGGTTTGGAGCATTCCACTCTTGTCTCTATATAGGAATCAATTTTAGCAATGGGGATTTTTCTCCCGTAATGATTAAAACAGCATTCGGATGGTAAATTGGCACCTGTGTTGAAAAATATCATTTATGTAATAAATCTGTTTATTAATATTTTAACACCAAACACGTAATGTTAACAGATAAATTGCTTATTGTAAGAAAATTCATTAGATCACCAACTCACCCTTGGAAATAAGTTTTTTTTATATATATATATACACATTTCTATTCACACCACTGAACAAATAAAGTTTTAGGGTGACTTACTGTTGCCCATTACACCAGACTGGAGGAATGCAACCGCCAGAAGACCAATAAAAAGACAAAGACAATACTGACGCATAGCTGCAGATTCTTCTTCTTCTTGAGATAAAGCTGTTATCAACTGGATAATGTCCTACAAACTTTACCCTGGGTTTTAAAAGGTAGAAGGGGAGGGGGCGAGTGTGGTTTAGGTAAGGGGGCAGGTTATAGGTGAGAAAATGTTCCACTGTGATCACAACTGAAAAAAATTGCTCATAAGTCTTACAGGAAACGGTTTTGTGGTTATTTCATGTAGCTAAACTGCACCTCGTGTATGACTCACCATCTTAGTCTACAGAGCCATTATTTTCAGTGTGAACACGAATGAAGTGAAGAGATAATAGACCACGAATATATACAATTTTATTTTTTATATCTTCTGCATTGACAACAGCAAAGGCAGCATTTTTGGACAAAAGGACACATAACACATAAGAACACAGACAGATTAAAGCGTGTTGTGTGAGCTGCATCAGTGCTTGCTCAAATAACTTCTGAAAGCTTCAATAAGTGCGGGATTGCATGCATACAGTCTGCACACATTTGAATGTTCATACAGTGTTGTTGATATAGATGAACAAAAAGCTAACATTAAATAGTTTGGACTGGCCTGTTATTCATATGTGACCCTGGAGCACAAAACCAGTCTTAAGTCACTGGGGTATATTTGTAGCAATAGCCAAAAAAATACATTGTATGGGTCAAAATGATAGATTTTTCTTTTATGCCAAAAATCATTAGGATATTAAGTAAAGATCATGTTCCATGAAGATATTTTGTAAATTTCTTACCGTAAATATATCAAAACTTACTTTTTGATTAGTAATATGCATTGCTAAGAACTTCATTTGGACAACTTTAAAAGGCGAGTTCCTCGATATTTTGATTTTTTTGCACCCTCAGATTCCAGATTTTCAAATAATTGTATCTCGGCCAAATATTGTCCTATCCTAACAAACCACACATCAATGGAAAGTTTATTTATTCAGCTTTCAGATGATGTATAAATCTCAATTTAAAAAAAATTGACCCTTATGACTGGTTTTGTGGTCCAGGGTCACAAATGTGGGCACAGGTACATTGAACATCCTGCTGCCTTCATCTTACCGCCTGATTCTGTCAGTTCCCACATGAAACACTAACATAAATACATTGCACAATAACATTACTGTACTTCATTATTAACATTTCCTGTATTCCTGGATGGCCTATGCTCTTTTGAACAGAATTAATTGTTTATGGTGATGCACACACTCAAGTACTCACAATATAACATGAAGTTGTTTATATACACACACACACACACACACACACACGTCTTCTCTGTCATTACAACTGAGATTGTCTTCACTACTTTATTGTACATGAACTAAAACAGCTGAATGCACTGGACACATATAAAGTCTTTTAAGCTCTTTTTCTGAGTTATGTGCATAAGTTCATTCAAAACTTTGGTCTCAAAGCAAAAAAGAAAGCCATTAACTTAATGCTCCTGGTGCATGTCCCCCAGATATATAAATATTTTAAAACTGAGGGCAATGAATAATCAGATAATAATGAAAACAGCCAACATGAACAAAAAAACGAGTTCCTGGGGTTCCTATATGGTAATGAACAACAAACAAAACATGAAATGGCAGAGCATAGTTAAGATGACAGTGAGAATCTATGAAAAAAAAACAAATTAGCAAAGCAGCTTATTGCAGTAGTGTGGTTTAAACCACAAAAAAGGTGGGAGGTTTTCCTTTGATCACAGTGATCACAAAGCAGTGAAATCTCACCACATTATCTTGATAATATCTCAAGATAAACTTAAGATATCGAGTGCCTTTCAATATTCTGGTGCCTTAATAGCTTGTTTACATATTACCGTGTGTACATACAGTATACACACTTACACTCTCTGAAGATATGAAATTTAGGTCTTTTTTCTTCCCCCTCACAAAAATAATAATCCATTAACTTTACCATGCATTCTAATCAAGATAATAAATAAGCATCTGGATGTTTAACATGATACTGTCAATACTTCGCAGTGAAATATATTTACCAAAATGACTTTCACTTCTCTAAACTAAAAAAAAAAAAAGCTAAAAAAAAAAAACTGTTATTGCTGTTACACTATGGTTCCATAAATTAGGCCAGTTAAGTGCATGTTTACATGAAACAAGTAAAGACTATGAAGCATTATAACATGGTATTTCATAGATTTTGAATAATTAGATTTTGTCTGATTTTAAGTGTTGAATGTCAAGAGTAATTTACTGCAAGATCTAATGAAGACATTATGATGTCAAGCATAATGCGGAGATGAGCCGTATGACAGAAAACCACCACCATCTATGAACACATACTAAATCTTTCATCTACCTTCTTTTCAACACTTCAACCACCATGAGATCCAAGCTGCACCACAATGTTAAAGCCACATTCATTATGCTAAAATCCTGTTCTGTAGTCATGAACTCAAACCAAACTTTGTAACTGCAGAAACGCTAGTATTCCAGCATATTTGGTTTTAGACTGGCACAACACTTCCTATAAAAAAAAGAGAGGAAAAAAAGAAGAAAAAAAAAAGAGAGAATCCAGTAACAATTCCACAAACAGTATTCACTCAAATCTCTGAATAAAGACATTTGTAATACAGAGAACAGAAACACAGATTACAGACACATTACAGGGAGTAAGAGGTAGAATAAACAATAGTTCTTGAAAAGAAACTTAGATTAAAAAGTGTACAAAAGTCTTAGAAACAATGGTGGGATTCACTGACATTGCATCCTAGCAAACAAAATAATCTCGTCATGATTTGTGCACTTCTAGTTTTTTAAAACACTACCTTTGATATTCCAGGATTTTGAAGGATACTCAGAGGCCACCAAGAAAAAGAATCTCATTTCAAGTCAATATGCTTTCACAAGCGTTAAGAACTAAATATTAGAAACAAACAACAAATAAAAACAACCTTAGAAAACCACAGCAAAACATATATTATTTTATTTCGCTTAAATGGGAATGCCTTGTTTAAGCTGAGGGAGGCAGAAGGATAAAGCAGAAGAGAAAGGGTGAAGGGGAAAGTAATGAAAGGACACAGACATTAAATAATTTAGATCTTCACAAACTCACATTGCCACACCTAATTGAGAGTTGTGATGTGTTGCCTCCGTTCCAGCCCTGTGAGGTCAGTTTGTATGGAACTGGACATGTATGATGGCCACTGGAATGGATATTTTCGGATGTGGTACCAGAGGTATGCAGGAGTACCCATGCACAGTCAACATGAGTTTCTCTCTTAGTCTCTGTGAGGTGGAAGAGAAGACATGAGGATGCATCCTTAGTGTTTCAGTAGTGGACTGCCCCGGTCTTGTCCTTTCTGCAAAGCCTGAAGGACCTAGAGGTACAAAAGAAAAAAAGTAAAAAAAAAAAAAAAAAAACCTTTTAAAAATGAACAGCATTGTATCATTCTTCTATATATAACATTTAATCCTTTTCGAACTAAAATATAATTCAGAAAATATTTAGACCCTCTCATTTTTTTTCCACACTTTATGTTGCAGCCTTGTGCTAAAATGCTTTTAAATATATATATTTTTAAATAAATTTGCAGAGTTATTACAAATCTAGTGTTTGCTTTGTCATTATGGTTTATAAAGTGCACAAAAATGTGAAAAAAACAAAAAAAATAATTCAAAGCATTTTAGGATGCAACATAAAATCTGGAAAAAAGAAGTCTGAATACGTTTTAAATCCACTGTATATTCTTTTCAAAATTCTGGGGTTAGTGAGATTTATCTTGAAAGAAATAGATCATTTTATTTAGCAAGGACACATTAAATTGTCAAAAAAGGACAGTAAAGAGAGTTAAGTATAATGTTAAAATGATTTCCATTTCAAATCAAATCTGTTATTTTGAACTTCATCAATGAATCACGAAAGAATGAGTCACTGTTTCCAAAAAAATCTTAAATGATAATAAGAAATGTTTTTTGAGCACCAAATGATGCTGAAGACTGGAGTAATGGCTGCTGAATGTAATAATATTTCACAACATTATTTTTTTTTTCTTATGTATTTTTGATTGGATAAATGCAGCCTTGGGGAGCATTAGAAATGGGTTTGGGGTTGGTAACTTTTGAACATTAGTACTGTGTATATATATATATATATATTGTGACGAGTCAGCTGCCTCCCCCTAATTATCAGCATCACCCCATCCCTTAATCGCCGCCCTTCCCCAGGCTCCCGACGGGAGTGGGTGCGTGAGAGAGGAGGGGCGCTGAAATAGCCAGGGCTGGCGGCGTGTGATGGGGCACACCTGAACCGAATGGAGCCTCATCACCGCCGCTGTTTAAATGCCGAGCGCGACTCTCCTCGGGAGACCGGTCTCTTCCCCGTGCATGCACGCTGGTGTCCTCGTGAGTCCAGGAAGGGTGCATAGAGGGACTCCCATGCCGCCAGAGTCGTGAGCTGCCAAACCCACGGTCCGGACGAGAACCGCACCCATTACATAGCCGTCGGGCCAGGAGGCCAGGCCGTCTAGTTCCTTCAAGCACCGTGGGCCAAGGCGAGAAGGATGCAGCCATTGGAAGAAGCTGCCGCCCCTCGTGCCCCGGACTGGAGAGGGGAGCGTGTGCGGCCGCCGGACTCCGCCCCTTACCTGGACCCGTCCTTCCTGACCACTGCCCTTTCCTGCACGAACCCCGCAGCACGACGAGGACACCAGATCCCCTGTTTTATTTTGGACACTTTATTCCCTTTTCTGGACACTGTTTATTTTGTAAATAAAAGCCTCTCCGAGGCCTGACGCCACACCCACTGTGTCTGTCGTTTGCTCGTCCCGTGACAATATATATATATATATATCTCATATGGTTTAATAAGTATTCATTTTAATGCATGCAATGTGTTTATGTGTGATTGTTTAGAGAAAGATGCTCACTTGTGCCCATTTCTTGTTCTTGCTGTTCATGTTGATGGTGGTTATGCTGGAGAAAATCTCTTCGGCAGAGATGTAGTCCGGCAAGCGCGTCAGGAACTGAGCGATGTGGATGAAGTCCATGTGTGTGAGGATGTCCTCGTAAAGACGCAGAATCCCCAGTGCTGTGCGGAAGAGAAATTCCTCGCCATCACGACAGAACACGTCCCACACACGGCATGCAATGTCCAGTGGGAGTGATTTACTGTACAAGGTGAAGATCCTACACAGACAAAAGCAGATCTCTGATAAATAAATCTGTACCTCAGGAGCACATTTCTGACAGGACTTAAAAGTATCTCACTTACCAGTCAATTAAATAAATATCAGAGGACAGGCTGTTATTTTTAAAATGTGCAAAGAGCTTCGGTAGATTTTCTTCAAAGAACACTTCAAATGTTGCAAAGTATGTCAACATCTAAGGAAGAAAAATGACAGGAGCATATGAAGAGTTGCATAATAACTATTTTTTTTATTGATCGCACAACTTAAAAGACTTCAAGACTGCTCATAAAACTCACAAGGCTGTGGTCCACTCTGTAGAAAGCCATTTGACAAGGCTTGTTCAACAAATTGGCAAATGCAATGAAGGCATCAGCAGTGTTCATGTTGAGGATCAACACTGCTGCTATAAAGGACATTCCCTGCACCTACACAACAAACACATAACAGAGATAAATAAATGAGGATTTATCTTTAGCAAAAAAGCATCTATTCTTACCCCTAAAACAACATGCTTTACCCCTTAATGTCAGATCAGTGCTGCCTTTCTGTATTCACAATTTGAGAATCTGTATTCTCAATTGACCATTTAATTTTTCCAGTTTATAATACGACCTTTACACCTAGCATCTTTGTGGAGGTGTAAGTGCAAAAGCTCTTTGGCCAACAATTGACATTGTGGTCTATGAGCAGGATGTAAGAGCTGTGCAGCACACATTGCTCTGGCATTCTCACATGTGCAGCAGAATAAGGTCTAAGGCTCTGCAGATTACGTGCATAATAGCTGGAACAGAACAACTCATCATACTCCAGCAAACCAGCTGTACGACACAGCATCTCTGTCAGTTTCTGTTTTACTCTGTAAACATCTCTTTATATGAGTCAATACTCAAGCAGACTGAGGTTAAGGTGCAGAGTACATTTAAAAAAATATTAGACATCATTTAAACAATTAGATATCATAGTAAACCAGACTTACATATCCTACATCGGGACGATAGCAAGTGTAAGCTCCCAGAATGCTGTGTAATACATCATGGTATGGGCCTCCCTGAAAATAAACCCCAAAAGATAATGACACAATTGTCAGCAGATGATATAAAACACCAGAAACAGCAATGCAGCCTACCTGTTGAAAAATACAGAGACTGGGAAAGGTTCTGGAAATGTCTAATTTGATCAGTTCTAGACTGGCCTCTCGATCAGCATGAGACAAGCCTGTGTCTGAAAAATAAGCAATAATTAGTTACAAAAGGGCATTAAAGGATGCTGATGGAGGAGAAATAACAGAAAATGAAAAGAAGCATAATAAAAGAATAAAAGAACAAATAATGTTTGATATGAGATTAAAGAAGTTATTCCAGCAAAAGTGAGAGAAAAGAAACAAAAGTACCATGTGCTTGGAAAAATGGAAAAATGCGTAACCGTCACCTTCAGTCTCTGTTTCTGTAGCAGCCGTTGGGGCTACAAAGGCATTCCACTTTTCTTTGGCTCTTGCCAAACAGATATTATACAGCTCTGTTTAAAACACATACATACACAAATAATAATGTGTTATTTACATGTAAATAAGTTAATATTTTTTTTGTTACAAGTTATGTTTACATGTGTAAATCTAAAACCACTATTTGCTTTGTAATGATATAGTGATATAGTTAGGTTATTACATGTAACTGTTTTTAGGAATCAAATTTGCTTTTGGAAATCTGCTAAACTAGCGTTCCTGAACTCCAGGGATTTCACTCGTTTACTTAAATATAAAGTATAACTGCATTGTGTTTAAATACAGGGAATATTTCAACAAAAATTTAAAACTAAATTCTCATTATATAATTACCCAGCATGTAAAACTGTCTGTCTCGTCAAGAATCATTTGCTATTCTAAATTTTCATCTTTATTTTTCTACTCATGATTACAACAGATCACCATTGCAAAAAAAACATTTAAAGGGGTCATATGATGCGATTTCAAGTTTTCCACTCATTAAGTAAGGGGCATTACATTTCCGACGAGTGCTTGCGGTGTTTGGCCAATCACAATGCACTGGGTCAGCTGGCCAATCAGAGCAGACTGCGCTTGTCGGAAGGAGGGACTTTGTAGAAAACGAAGCGTTTGAGAGAGGCGGGGCATATAGGACCTACAATAATGTACAGTATTTGAAAAATAATGTGTTTTTTGAACATTAAAGCATGTCAACATATTCTGTTACACCAAATACACAAAATAATGATCTTTAAAAAAGCATCATATCACCCCTTTAAACCACAGCAGTTTTCGGTGCAGAGTTCTCACAGTGAACAACCACAAAAGCATGGTTATTACTACCTATAACGTCATTACCATTAGCATATGACAATGCATCATTCATGCTTTGCTTTAGATATGCTGTTCTCACAAAAGAAGGTTCAAGCTTGTTTACGACTGCAAATGTATGGTATACATTTGTGGGTTTTTGTTAAAAGTAAAAAATTGTGTCAGAGAAAATATTAAAATTAAACACCAATTAAACCACATCAAACCACAGGACACTGCTTGTGAAACACGATGAAGAAAATTTCGAATTAAAAAAATTGTGTCCAAAGTAGTCTTTTGTATGTGCTTATCCAGTATGTGTGAGGTGTATGTGATAAAGAATACATAAAACACATTCATACCATCTGTGATGTTCAGTTCATTGCCTATCGCTAAACTCCATACTTTGCCCCTCACACTGGGTGGCAGACCCTGCCACCATAAATCCCTCACCCGCTTGGATGAACACCTGGAATGGGGAAGAGAAGGACAGAGCAAAACAAGTCAATTAACAAGTCTAATGTGTGCAAATATTTTCAGGGAAACACACGGCTGAAGTAGTTCCAGGCAGGTCTTGACCGCATTAAGATGCACTTCGCTAAACGATTTCAGTTATTTCAAAGGTCCTTACAGCCTACAACAGCAAAAGAACCAAAACTCACAACGACACTGACCAAGCAAATAAATGTAGCAAACAACAGGATAAAAACGACAAAGTATTTCCATGTTTTTTGCCACAAAGTTACATTTTAATATGTACAGAAAGCACATACTCTTTCTCTTTCACATACACACGTTGTAAGTGCTGCTCTGACGATTTTATCAGTAAAATAGCTCAGCACCTTAAAAGCTACATGTCATTTCTCACTAGCGAGTAGGGTTGGGTATCGTTTGAATTTTATCGATTCAGATTCTGCTTATCGATTCAGATTCTTTTCGATTCCCAGTTTCGATTCCAATGTGATTAAATGATGATATCAAACATTTATCCTGTGTCTCTTTTTTGCAAATCATTTATTGTAGCTGAATACCATGAACAAAAATCAACAGGCTACATAAAAACTGGACTCTTTAAGAGCTGTTTGTGTGCAAAATAGAACTGCATGATTCTGGATAAATTTAGTTTTTGTGGTTAGGAAGTTGTGGTTCTCTCCTGATTTTGAAGAAAAAACATTAGACAACTAAACAAAATCACATGTAATTTATGAATTAATGATTAAATGACTCACTCAAGAAACTTTGGAGTGCTTAGATTAGCGAGTAAGGTCCTGGCAGATCGCAGATGAAGATGAAAGAAAAAAAAAAAAAAAGCGCATAGGAATCGATAGGCGGAATCGAAATTTTAATTTGACAACAAGTATCCGATTCCTGACCTTAAGTATCCGATTCTGGAATCGGAATCGATTTTCGATTCCCAGCGCTACTAGCGAGGTAATAGCGACATTGTTCATGAAGCAGATAAACTTACAGTTTCTCTATTAATAGAGACGCGTCTGTCAAACACTGTACAGATCTGACTTAGGTAATTCACACATGCTTAATTTCTCTTTTTTTTCTCTCTAAGCATATTTTAATTGTTACGTTGTTTATTTCATTTTTGGACTTTCAGCCACTTTTATGTTTTATTCACAGGGACAGCAGAGAGATTATCGGATATAATAAGGATAAGAGCTGTATCTCATTCAAATGCACACTGCTCACATGAGCACCTAAGCTCAACACTTCTAGTCCATGTCTCTCAATTGGTCAATGGATCTCTTGCCAAATGTTACTCTTCATAGAATGTTTTTGACTACTCTATTATCTATGGTCAGTTATTTAATTATATGGAATGTCAAGAATGTTTGTTTGTGTAATATATTGTGTCAATTAATTTTGTGTGTAGACTCACATGCTTTGCCAGTTGGGTAATATCTCCTGACTCCAGGTGAGAGCAGCATTGCCAACGCTTTCCTCATGTTTACACCTGTCCTCTAGTTGTTTTTTCCGTTTCTGGGCCTCTTTCAGCCAAAAAATGTCAGAGGTAAATCAATAACAATTACATGAACAATATTTCAAATGTGATTTATGAGATTTGTTGTATTTTGAATCCAATTTTTCTTTGTAAAAGGTAAAACATCTATCATACGGATTTCAAAGTTAAGAATTCATTAGTCTGAATATACATCGAACCAAAAACTATCATAACATCTTAGTTGATAATTCAGTATACTTTATTTTTGACAAAACATCCCATGTTTCGGTAGTGACTGCACATTTTCGGTAGTGACAGTAATGCTTTGGAAGAGACCACATCACATTACAGAATTTTAACTTGCATACTAAAATACTAAAAATTTGCATAACTGTACTATTTTTTTCCCCCAAATATGAGGATTATGTGTTCCCTTTTGTCACTACCGAAACAATGATGACATGTTTCAGTCATGACAATTTTATGGGATAACACCCAAAAAACAACAACAAAGATGTCACTACCAAAACTCCACCAAATGTTTCGGTAGTGACAATTTTAGATACTTTTGAACCCATCTCAAAGATGCTAATCAGCACATAGTTAGCTAGCACAGTTCTGAACAGTTGTACATGCATACTAATTAAATATGGAAAAACTCCCAAAAAAGTGTGCTTATTTGCAGAAAAGAGGTGTTCGGTAGTGACGTTACACATAGACTTTTCAGACTTTTGAGCACATTTACCTCAAAATGATGGGGTCTACCTACTCCCCTGTAGCTATGAGAGAAAGACACATAAATATTTCCTGATCATAAATGTAGGGGTGTAATTAATTTCAGTCTCAGTCAATAGACTAAAACATACACGGTTTCGGTAGTGACATGAAAATGCGGGATACATTTTTTATTTTTTTTTACATAGTTTCATAATTTACAAAGAAAATATAAAACAAATATTTTTTAAACTTTACTTTTTAAAATAATCAAAAATATATTTTTTAAAAACAATGGAAAAAATACAAAAAATTCTATATTTTCATAAGTTGAAATTTAGGGGTTAGGGTTCGGGACAGCCACCTCCCAATTGAAAGTACCCAATAAATGATGATTTTATATATATATTAAGCTTACTAATATTTTAAATATTATTGTGGGTTTCAATAGAGAATAGAATGCTCTTAGTAAACGTCTAAGATTTGAATACTTAAATGCTTTTTAAATGTGTTTTTTGGTGGTGGGACAGCAGTTTGGACCAATTCTGTAGAATAGTGCATATAGTCCAAAGAATTGAAACAAATAATACACTTTTAAACAGTTAAAGGCTAGTTGGAAGAATCTCACAAAAAGGTTCAGGTCATTCACCACAAAAAAAAAAAAAGGTAAAAGGTTTTTTAATATTTGAATGAAATAAAATGCATAAACCAAACAACAGATACTACAATGAAAAATAACCCTTTACAATTAATTTTGTTAAATCACAATTTTTTCCCATACTGTATTGAGATGATTTTGGATTACAGCAATGAGGCTTAATCATCCAGAAAATTATCATTAAAGAATACATTTCAAGGCATTAGGCATAAGAACTTATAGGAACTAATGCCTTAACAAGGTTTTAACATCCAGCGTTTTGCCACACAATACTTTTTTCACAGCCGGCACAAGTGGAAGCAGAAGTTCTCAAACCAGCAGGAACTGTAAAAATAACGGTCTTTGCAATCACAATGTGTCATGATAGGCCCAAATGGAATCAGAACAACTTGCTTCTGTTATAGTATTTGTGTTTCTTTACAAAGTCTCATGTCACACTGTACACACTGAATAAGTAATCTGTACTCTTACTCTGCATCCATCTTTAAATTCCCAGATTCTGAAGTAATCTGTCTGATCTGTATATCTGAACAAAATGACGATAGAGAAATACGTTTTATTTATGCAGTCAGAAAGCACACGCTATCGCTCATGAGTGAATATAAATATTTAATTTGACCCCACGCTGCACTCTCTCAGAGATAAAACTAGACAAAATGACCTACATTCCAACTCTGAGCCAAATGTGTACAAGAGAAGGACATTAAATGAAATTAGACGAGGAACTCCTAATTAGTTTTAAGAGTGAAAGTGGGACAGCAAACCAAAGAAACAGGATGACAATATAATAAAATATAATAACAAATGTGCTCACACATAAACACCAGGTACACCTGCTACGAAAGCATCGTCATTTCCTCCCTATTATGCTCTTTTTTCTATTCTTCCTCATTCTCCTCACCTTTTCTTTTTTAAATCAGACAGGAAACAATGAGGGGGGAAAAGGAAAAAAAATAAAAAATACGACATGAACTCACCATGAACGCCGCAGTGCTGTTGAGACATTCAGAATCCAGTGTTTCAGACACAACACTCTACACCATTGCTGTACTTCCACAACTACAAGCTTAAGTGCCTTGCAGACCGAAAGGCAAGGCACAACAGCAGAGGAAGACCACAAGGAATATGGGACACACCCTGAGGAACAGTAGCATGATACTACTGTGCCCCTGCTCCTCTGCTGTTATTGCTGTCTCACTCCTGCTAAGTTACTTGACAGTTTTTCCTTGCCCTCTTTCTCTCTATTACTCCGTCCTAACAAACATGCACCCAAACTGGGAGGCACTACATCAGAGGGATGCAGAGGATCAGACTTTGTCCCGTGCTCCTGCTGTGTCCATAGGTGTGTGTGTGTGCATGCTAATACTACTCGTCATCATCACAGTGCTGAGAGGATCCATGATTTACAGGCAGCCATACTAATTGATTGGAGCACAAGGCTCTCTGCACTGCAGTCTCATGTGATCAGTGCGCTCTGTGCTCTGCTGTGCATGTCTGAGTCATGTACGAAGATGATAAATTATCTGCTTTACGTGGCCTGTGTGTCATCAGTTCTCATGAGCTTTCACTGATTCAAGTAAAATATATCAAGAAACATCCTAACAACACTGTCAAACCATCCCACACATTTTAGTCCCTTAAGACTTTACATTTAAAGCAAGTAAATGGCAGCAGGGAGAATATTGCAATGTTTAAAGTCAAAAACACTGAGGCAGGACAGAAGCACATAATATTAAATTAATCTTAACTCATCTCTTCCTATAAGCCACTGCTACAGAGCCTAAATAAACCAGCAACTCTAAACCTGTCACCCAATACCTCGATCTTCCATTACAGCTGCAGAGAACAAAAGCAAGAGATAAAGGCAGGAGTTGGATGTGGGTGAAATCTAGATGGACACGGGGAGGCAGAATCATGGGGTTCAAATTACCTAAAGCAAACTGCAGGCCTGCACACTGGAAACAAAGCCCCATTCAAAACAATATCAGAATAACTCTGCATTTGATTGATTCATGCATAATGAATCAAAGTGAAAAATCTAAAACTAATACACACAAATCTTTAAACATGTAGCCGAAATGCTTCATTGTTAAAATATTTTCTTCCAGCTGAGAAAAACATTCATGGGTTGATTTCCCCAAAACGAGAAACGGAAATTTAAAGCAGTCATGGGAGGAAAGTGTTGCCATGCACATTTTTGACATCAACTTAATGGCAAGATTGCGAGGAGACGCGTGACAAATAAAAACAACATGTGTTCTTAAATTGGCTCAAAATATCAAACATGTTTGATATTCTCAGACTGGACATATTCTGAAGCTAAAAAAAAATCTGTCTGTGCCCAACATTCAATACTGTTTCAATACATTTCTGACTGTCCCAAAACCTGCAGACTGGTTCTGACTTTCTATAGCCCCATACTCAATGAAGGGTACATTATAAAATAAACTGAAAACAGAAACTATTTTTTCACAATTTCGGCACAACCTTACTACATGAAAAAGCACTCAAAAATCAGGTACATTGCATTTTGACCTCTTGTAAGATCTTGTATGAGTGCAGGTGTGTGAACGTACCTTTTGCATTTTCCTGGAGTCTTTGGTTGAAAGTTCTTTATGTGGAACTTTACCAAACAGCTTCCAGCCAGGCTCTCTCTGTTCTTCCAGTACACCCGCTTCCTTCATTCTCTTAGCAAAAAGACTCCTTACAAATATAGAAAAGAAATAAAAGGACTGAGTTAACAGAGTGCTACGTCTACTGAAAATGACCTTCAAGTTTTTTTTTGTCTTTTCATTATTTTTAAGCAATGCGAATTCCACAAAGAGACACTTTATTATTATAATAGCACTTTTCACTAAATACACAGAACAGAGAGAGAAACTGAAAAGAATACTGCACTACAGTGGAGAGTGAGGCAGAAGGAACAAACATTTGAGCTGTTTTAAGATCAAGAAAAGCTTCAAGAAAGTCTGTGATGCAGAGATAAGGAATCATCTTTTTATGGAATTACCTTTCCATCTCATCAAAGGAAAGGTAATTCTGAGGCATGTGCCACAAGTTGAGAATGATCACCCACAGCACAAAGGACAGTGATTTGAGTGGATGATAGAGAACAAGCCGAGGTCCAGGTAGTGATGAGCTCTATTAAATATGAAGGACCTAAGCCACTTAAGACCTTTTGAGCACTTAACTCCACGCTATTCAGTGGCGCCTGAACATTTTTGTTCTGCAACCCATTTTTCAGGTTCTAAAATGCTTGTGAAACAAATACATGAGCGTTTCAGCAGCACTGAAACTGATATGGTTGATGATGGTGATACAGAAAATGATGGGAGTAAAAAACTGAAGTATATCATAGTTATATCAAGTTATATCAAATACTGCATATCATAGCCGGATTGGGGCCTGCAAGTAAAAAATATGAAAATTAAATCACCGGTGATGAGAAACACCAGTACACCCTATAATCAGAAGTTGAAATAGAAAGATTAAAAATGTATGAAAAGTGAAAAGGTGTTGCCAAGAGTATTGCAGAATTCCAGCGGAAACACACATGAAAAATTTTAAATGTATAAAATTAAGTTATTAAATTACATAAAAAAATGAAACAATGATAAAAATGTTAACAATGTGAATAATATTAATGCAACATTATTTGAAAGGCAAAATTTCGTCAAGTTTACACAATAAGCAAACCATGATACTACTGAACAAATCAGTAGTTTCTTGGTGTGAATTTAACAACATTACAAATGCAAATGCTACAATACTTGTGGAAGAAGCTGGCGAGTGGACCCAGTCTCTTGGGTCTAGCCTCATGTGGTGTAGAGACCCCCACAGGTTGCCGTTGTGGGCTGCTCAGCTTGCCGTGTAGGTCAGTAGGAGATGAGAGTGAATTGTCACAACGGTGCAAGACATCTTCATTCTCAAATGTAACAACGGCGCTGGACTCGGATGTAACCATGAAGTCTAGGAAGTCCTCATTACTGACTGACAATGTGGCAGAAAACTCGGTACTTAAACTGGAAACACTGCACACTGAAATTTCATCACTGCGGTTCAAAGTACCCTTGCCTGCCGCACTGGAGAGCCCACTTGCACCATAAAGATGTACCAAATCAAAGTCACAACGTGGGAAGGTGGAAGACTTGAGTATAGAGTTATCTGAAACATCCAAGTTTAGTGTTGCCGGATTATCATCATGTGGCGGTGGAACCACCAGCTCAGCAGTGGTGACTCGAGCATGAATGTGCTCAGGGGGGTTAATCTCAAGGGTGGGGATTCCAGAGTCCTGAGAGGCCAAGCTGCTGCGATCCTCATCACATGTGCCATTAAAGGGAGTGAATGACTTGTAGCTGAGGGAGACATGTGGCAGCTGAGAGTCTGAGGTCATGTGATGGTTGACATGGTTTTGGGTGAGAGGCAAACACTGGTTGTGTGAAGAGTTGCTGAACGATGAGACCTGGGAATCTAGAAAGACAAATAACAAAAGTAAATCAGTCCTTATGAGGAAAAAGTTAACCTGTAAGTCATATGGGTGTTTCGTCTCCTTATAGAAAATAAACTTTTTTTCTTAACCAACAAATGTCATTTCCACTGCATCAGATTACATACAGTATTTCATTCCTGCAACCCTCTATGGACACCTTGGCAATAGAATCGCCATTGGCTAGTAAACTTTTTACTTTACTTACCAGACTTTATCATGAAGGCATGGGAATATAATAAAAATACATTTGTAAAAAAGTTTTCAGGACAGTTTTTGCAATAAATACCATTTCTGCTTATGACCTTATCTTACAAATATCTCAGGGTAACATGGACAGAAATCAATTGTATCCTAGAAACTCAGGGAAAATTACACCCTACACTGTAAAAAAAAAATCCATAATTCCCTCAACCTTGAAACATGAAACAATGCAATGCATTATTCAAAATACAGGTAAAATCAATCCGGAAAATTACTTCATATTATTAGTAAATTGGGCCCATGTTAATGTTAATTTTCCATTAGGTTACAGGTCTGTGCTCTCAGCCCACACTATATTCCCCATGTGTCAATATTCCAGGTAAAAACATTCTGAAGAGTGAAAAGACTCGATGTGCATGGCTGGGTAAACACCTCTCCGAGTCTTCCCTCAGTAAAACAACAACACAACAACCTCTCATCACACTAACTCGCTGACCAGCTTTTCTCTACATAATAGAGTGACATGAAAACTTCAGTGTGCAGGAGTAGAGAAAGCAACCTGAAACCAGACCAAAAAAAAAAACCCCAAAGACCTGAGGAAACATCACGTCAACACTCCCTCCAACTCAACTTTGAGATAGCTGTCCTCAAACATCCTTGATAATCTAGTGGACAATATCTTCCATCAAAATTGGACAAAAATAGCTTTTTGACTAAATGAGGATAGAGGAAGAATGATTGGGGTGCATATGTCCTGAGTACATCACAGTAGCACATCAACAGGACATCAAAAACAAAGTGGAAAATAGAACATCAGCTCAAAACAAAAAAGATGAACAAGAATGTTTATATTGTGCCCGATACGTTTGAAAAATATATAATGGGAGAGGCGATGGATAATACGAGCTCTACTGGTTCTCCCCAATTGAATATGGTTCAGTGTGTGTAACAGGTGTGTGCACCTGCTCATCTACTGCAAAAGAAACAAACAATGTGCATAGAATCTACAAACCATTATTGGATTGTGGACAGAACATGCTTTAAGAAAGCCGTGAAATCTACAATTGAGTGCAATCAGTAACTGCAGCTTTTGACAGGACAACAATACTTTAAAAGCCCAACAATACACACCTTAAACAATAACAGCGCTTTCGTAATTTCAAAAGTGACCCAGCCCATACATTTCTCAAATTCACTTTGAGTTTTAAGGTTACTGTGTTCCTGTAGTCAAAGAGAACTTTTGTAAATTATTTATTTAATTTATTTTCCAAATTAATAATTAGCTCTTTCAACCAAATCATACAGAACTACTTCATTGCTCTATGAGCTGATGTGCTGTTAATGCTTGTAAAATACCATGAAATTGTTGTTCTCTGATGCAATCCTTCATAAGGCAATCAGCATCCTCTGAATTAAATATACATAGAAACAGAAATTCTAATGTTGTTAGAAACTACTTGAAGTTTTGAAAGAAATAAAGGATAAGGATCAGATTAATCAGCCTGTTCAGATAATTATACAGACATACAAGAAAGGTATGAACAGAACAGTATCCAATTTTATATAGAGGGATAAATAAATCTAGGAAACTTTCAACAGACTATATAAGATTAAAAAGGGAAAAAGAAGTAGGCATTACCTTGACTCAAGACCAGTGGGCTAAAATATGTGTTATATCACATACCTCTACAAGCTCAAGAATGTGGCATGAGTTCTGCTGGAAAAAAATGTGATTGGATTTTTTATTACACTGAGAATTAAGACATTACAAACGAGGGATCTCCACCCATGTTGGAGGAATTGTGGGATGGAGGAGGCACGTCATACACATGTATTCTGGCAGTGCTCAAAGAGGAGTAGTTTTTGGGAAGTTGTATGGTCTACTATTACCAGTATTTTTACTGTCAGTATTCCCAAGTCATTTGAAGGTTTATATTTGAGGGATATCCCTAATGAGGTTGAAAGGGAGGATAGATATGTTTAAGGTATTATTGATAAGTAAAAAGGCTGTAACCCGGAAATGGTACAAAGAGGATCCACCTACGATAGAAGAGTGGTTGAAAATAGCAACAGAGGCCAAAGAAATGGAAAGGCTCATATATATACTCCGATTACAAAAACAAATCTTTGAGAACAAATGGAGGAAATGGTTAGCTTTCTCCTCTGTAGAATAATGGTCTATATTTGAAAACGTACATGAATATGGATGTCACGTATTACTGAAAGAATATGTGTGTGGCAACCTTTGTTAATGTTGCTGTTGTTGGTGTAATTTTTTATATATTTTTTTGTATTTTATTTTCTTTTGTATTTTTTGTCTCCATGCCCTGTAGTTAATTCCGAAGAAAAGTCAATAAAAATTAAAATAAAATAAAAAACTACTTGAAGTTAATCATTACTAATAAGGACAAAACAAGGAAAAGGTTAAAATCTCTCAAATTTATATTCCCTTAATCTAATCATTCAATTTTAACATAATATCTCCCATTTTAATTAAAGAGTGCACCAGTCAGGCTCCTGGAAGTAAAAATCCCATTGACAACTTATAAACCTTTAAAAAACAGACCTACTGTAATCTACAAGATTGTTAATAAATGGTATAATATTTCAATTTAATATTTTTAAATAATTGTGTTCAACAGCAGAATGCCAGGTGGAAAACTACATTTAAGCATGATTCTGCCAAAAAATGTCCACTAATCGGAGAATTGCCCACTCAGTCCCCTGAAGCACTTCAAATGACTGTCAGGTTTCAAACGACTTAAATATTTGTATGCATAATATGCATGTTTTGCAAAGAAACAAAACACACACATAAATATATAAACAATTTTTTTTATATACATATACATATATGTATATACATATATACATATATATACACATATACATATATACATATA